CTGCCACACTGTGTAATGTAAAAAAACGTTAAACCCTAATGTATTCCTTTCACTAGTAAAAATAAGGTTATCACTGGGATCAGCATGAACACATGCTGGGAATTTTAGTTTTTTCATACCTGTTTAAAAAAAAAAATCTAATTTTCAACAAGAAAATGACAATGCATCGTTCCAATATACAGCAATCGCACAAGCACTAGCAAATATTAGTTATACCATATGAGTGTGTGTTTGTAGCGCTGTGCATCCCTTATGCAGCACCTTCTGTACCAGAGGCAAAATGTATGTTCCGAGAAGGAGGGGTTCTTCCTTCAGGACAACTATACCACTTCTCATAGTCAATGGCAAAGGCTTTCTTCTATTGCAAAGGCCACAGCTACCCTGGGGGTTCGGTGCCCGCTAGTTGGGCTAGATGACAATATATATTTTTTTTCAAAACCCTAAACAGCAGCACTACACTGCTGGAGCTGTAATATGTAGACCCAGTCCAGCCCTGTGAAAATTACTTTTCTGTCTTCACAAAGCCAATAGCTGGGAACACAGAAACTGTGCTCTGCTGTTTTAATTTCTGTGCCACTTTAATGTGAAATAATACTGATTCCTTAAATTTTGCCTCTGCTTCTGTTTGAATCTGGAATAAATTGATGTCGTGGCAGATAAAAACAAATCAAGTTCAGTAATTGCAACAGTACACAGAAGTATTGTATTATCATTACGTGCAATATCTCTATTTTTCTATCATTTCTATTTATATGTTTCAACCCCTATCTATATGACTTTTCTACTCAAATTTTGGTAAAAATAGCTGTAGATCATATTTCAATGATGGACACAAACAATGAAACTACTTTGACATGTAGACATATATATATATAACATGTATCTGTGAAGGCATGTTGTTAAAGTTATTTAAATGGCAAGGGTACAATTCACATACAGATTTGTGTTTGTGCACCAGATACTGTTCATGTATCAGTTATTCTCTGTACTGTTCTGAATATGAACTAGTATGTAATCTAAGGTTAAAATTCCTGCAGTTTAGCTACCAATGCAGCAAAAAAGTGTCTCCCAAAAAGAGGAAAACAATGCTTACATTGTACAATGACTTTCAGCACTAGGCTGGTTAGCAAAATTAATTTGACTAGAATGTTGTATCTTATTTGTTGTTTCCAAAATTGTAACCTAGACTGTGTCTTGAACATATAAGGAAGGGGAATGATTAGAGCAATGTTGTTATTTAAAAATGAGTATTTTTTACTTAATTTCCTTATCTCTCCCTATGAAATTTGGTCTGGCCTTGAGTAGCAGCAATACATGTACCTGTGCAGTGTTTCCACCCCGTCTATGTGCTTTTTACAAGGAAATGTCCTTCAGACTGAAAGCCAAGTATGATAGACGGTCATTGACCTATAGGTCAATGAGGAAAGTATCGTGAGGAACAGGAGTGACGACAGCGGTATGAAGGTATATATAAAAGGTGATCTTTGAGGAAAGAAATCACGTATGGCTGAATTTCAAGGGGAATGTGCGCTCTTGAAAGAAAAAACTAAGATGATAAGTTTTGTCCTGATTAATCTAGTTCTGAACGCATCCCATGTCTCATTCCTGCCAGGAACCTCTCCACTACGTGTAAACGTCTCATTCACTTTGGCAGTGCCACTGAGTCCCCTCTGTTAATGACTCCTGTATGCTACGTCTGCCTCTCTAGCTACTTGGGTCTTCTGTATAAAGCAAAGTCAATGGAGTAGCTGAGAGCACATAACACTTTTGGAGAAAGAGGACACTCTACCAAGCTCTAAATGCCTTGCCTGCAAGAAGTCAGTTATGCAGGACATAAGATGGTTGTGATATCCTTTGTAGAGGATATTGAAAGCTGGAAATAGGGGTTCGCAATTATAAAAGGAGTATTTGTATGCCTTCCACTGTCCAGAACAGTAACTATTTCAGAACTATAACTGTTTGTGTTACAAGACATGAAAGGGGCATGAAACAGATTTTCACGTTCAGACTGCAAATCAGGAAATGTCTTTCTGAGTCATATTGAAGTCTCAACATGGCCTTGCACTGGGAGCCACTGCCCTTAGGCCACGCTGTGGAGAGCTGAAGAAGTTACTTCTGCTTTCTAGCTCAGAGCACACTCTGCTTTCTTGCTGTGAAGAGAGCCTAACACTAGTTGTCACAATGTTCACAACGCTATCTCTATCCTCAAATAGAGTCCTATCCACAGAGAAGTCAAGCACGAAAATTCCATTTTTTGAGGTCAGTGGGAGGCTCTTCCAAGTGTAAAGCTATTTAATCTTTTGCAGTTGTGTTTCATTCATTGTAGTAATACCAAATAATTGCAACTGAAGGCAATATCAAACAGTATACAATTATCTCTAGAAAGAATGAAGACTGTGAAGGCCACCAGGGTTTTCAAGTCTTCTCCTCCATGGCATAGTGGTGGTTCCTCAAGATTCAGGCGCTCTAGCTGCTCAGACAATTTTCATCTGCCCATAAGCTTCAGAGCAGTTCTCTATTCTGCAGTTCTTTGGTAAGTGCTGCAGGCTATTTATCTGCAGTCTCAGCTTTTTCCCCACAGTTCTGCTGACAGCAGCTGGAACCTAGGGCAGTCGTGAGCGTTAGTATATCTCACAGATAGTAACATGCTATCAGAGCTATACAATGACTCTACATTTATGGGTTACCAAAATTACTAGCAAATAATGGTAGCATTTGGGATGTGCCACTCTGAGCAGCCCAGCCCGAGGTGTGCAGTCTCTACCTACCCCTTGCAGCTGCGTCTCCAGAGACAAGGAGCGCTGCTTGCATAGTCTCTCTGCTCAAGCAGGAAGAAAGCAAAGGCAGAAGGACTATAAGCAGATCATAACCCCTATTTTATCCTCTGTGTTATTTCTTCTGGTCTTTCTGCCTCTCCTCCAATCTGAAACAGGGCAGAACAGCTCTCTGTGTGTGCAAATAGATGCATGTTCTTTGTGTTTGTTATTTTTAAACAGTCATCAGAAAGCCAGTGTGTGGCTTTTATACAGATTTGAGAGAGAACTGGATTATTCTGTTTAGTCAATGTCTCATTTGCAAAGAGAATTTTTTTTCTGCAATAGAATGTGAGAGGATTTTTTTTTAGTGGCATATGTGAAATGGATTAGAATGGCTTTGATGCTCAATAATAAGGACATTTTGTTCTTTTAATGATTTCAGAATGGAAACTGTACGTATTCATATTGTTTATGAAAACATCAACATGGGGCTTTTTGTTTCTCAGAAAATACTTTATTGAATATCTTTCAAGAATGAAATGCTGTCCAAACAGCATTTAAAAAGACTTATAATATCAAGGAAGCTAACAATCAGTTTAGTGAAAAATTTCTGAGTAGCTCCACTCAAGAATTTGCTTTCAGATAGAGTTGTCTACCTCAGGCCCTGCTGCTGAGAATAATGAACTGAACGGTTTGGCTACGAGCATTCAAGATTTCGCCTTCGAGGCTTCATGCTGAGCAATGGACATTAAGTGCTGCCACCTAGTGACCCACTCGTATGAAACAGGGTGTTCTGTTTTCCGCCCAAAGTTCTGATGCTGGTTAAGAGATGTAAATTCATCTGCCGTTTGGTGCCTCAGAAATGCTTCTGTTGAAAAACCGTGTTGCATTATCATTGCTATCATGCCGGCATGGGCTGTCATTTATTAAATATGTATTCTATACAGACTTTTCTATCTTTCTGCTTATGTATTTTTTTTCATTTTTTTGCAAGGATGTCACTTTGTACTGAGGACTTGTCTTTTTTGCTACTAAAGCTATACTCTGTCCAGCACATTAAAAAAAAGGCAAAAAAATATTTTTAATCTGAAATAAACAGAAAAGCATATCATGAGAATTTGTCTGAACCTTCTAGAAGGGGTAAAAGTGATATGCACGAGGTGACGAGAAGTCCACTTTATGCTGAAAAAGGAAATTGAACAACGCCATGTGTTTCTCTGACAAGTTTCGATTTTAATGCCAACGATGTAAGGCTAGAGGTTTAGTATGCGAACCTGTTAGGTAGAGGATGCCAAAAGGATGGCCTCATTCGGGGTCTGGTCTTAAACAGCAGAAATAGCCTCGAGAAAATTACCAAAGACTTATCATCTCGTATAGCGCTCAAAACCGCTAGAGGAGGTCTTTCAGGGAGAGCCAGGTCCCACCCTTGCCGCGCAGGCACCAGGGATCAGCGCCGCCGGGCCGCGGCTGGGGCCGAGCGGGGCCG